TGGACCCAAATTAACCACATTGCCATAAGTTACAGGTGGCGTGGTTCCATCCTGGATTGCCGCTCGTACTGGAGTACCTGTATCGACTCTGATCATGCGTTGGTACGCTGTAGTTTCTCCATGAACTTTACCGGGAGACGCACCAAGCGTCCCCTACGATTTTCAACGGAGAAATTGTCTCAGCGCTCGGTCAGGCAAGCCTATCAAGACGCACTGCATACCGAACTTCCGCTGTCTTGTCATAATGACACTGAGCTTCAGTGGAATAGGATATCGGCCGCCATGCACGACGCAGGAGCATCTGCTTGTGGCACTATCAATCGTCACCGCACCAGTCACTGGATATCCGAGAGTTCGGTGAACCTGTTGAAATCTAGAAGAAACCTCCCGGCTGGCTCTGAACACCATGTGACCAGACGGGCTATTAGGCGCGAACTAAAGCAGAGCCTACGTGCTGACAAGGAAGTCTGGTGGACTAGTAGGGCTCAAGAAATTGATTAGGCAGGGGCAGTAGGCAATTACCGCAAGCTCTTCCAGCTAATCCGCATCACTGGTCCCAGAAAACCAGGCGTCAGTGAAACAATCAGAGGCAGCGCAGGTGCGCTGATACACAATAAGGAGCGCCGTATAGCTCGTTGGGCGGAACACTTTCAAGATCAGTTCAGCTGGCCCGCTGTTCCCGGACCTCTTCCTACTCAGGTGATGCAGGACGAGCCATGAACGGTTAGTTTAGAGCTTCCGTCGGAGGCCGAGGTCCGAAACGCGATTATAGCCCTCAATCGTTTAGGTGCCGCTGGCCCGGATTCCCTCCCGCCTGCACTATTTAAGGCTGGAGATGAGGTCTCCTGCAAAGCACTGACCTCCTTATTCGAATGTATCTGGAAAGAAGAGAGCATCCCGGCTGATTGGAACGAATCAATTATGGTCGCAATATACAAGAAGGGCAGTCGCACAGACTGTGCTAACCACAGGGATATTAGCCTAAGGTCAATTGTGACAAAATTCATCATCATCATCATACACGTTAGCTAGAGGTGGGGAACACCTCAGCTACTGTGCCGCAATACACAGAAAAAGAAAAAAAGTATGCAACTGGTGCAAGCCGGCTGAGCTACCGGTAACGGATGGGCATCGTTCCGGTAAGCTACCAGCCGGCTACTGTGCATCAAAAAATTACTATGCAAAATTATATAATGCTAAATAATGAGATCGTGATTGGAGGGGGAGGCTAAGAGGGATGGGGTGGGACAAAGAAACTCACAGCACGAACACCACTGAGGTCGGCTCCTAGCCATATCAGCAAGTGTGTCCAATTAAACGTATTCATCGCCTTTCGGAGCCCAACCAGGGAGCCGAGATGCTCCAACCGAGGCCAGCTCAGAAGTGAGGCCCTTCATTTCTTTGGACTAAGTCATCGCTTGGCCACCCCTCCTCTTCTTCCATCCACACCCGCGGCGCGCAAACAACGCACGTCGCGTGAGTCGGTGGGCTGGCATGCGTAACGCGTGACCAAGCCATCGGAGCCTGAGGCGTGAAATAACGGTGCTGAGCGGTTCAGTTCCTTTTCCTGTGCCGTAAACAAGGCGTCGAACACGCTCGTTGCTCACACGGTGTTCCCACCAGATGTGAGCTAAATTACGAAGGCACCGGTGGTCGAACGTAACTCGCCTTTTCAGGTCCGCTGCTTTAAGCGGCCAGGTTTCATAACCGTACAGTAGGGTCGAACGTACTGCTGCATTGTACACTACCCTTCAGTTCAAGAGTGATGTCGCGCCGGCGCCATAAGTGGTGAAGGTTAGCAAAAGCGCCTCGAGCTTTTGCTATACGGTTCGTGATCTCATCCTCAATCCCACGGACGCTGATACAACTTCCCAGGTAGTTGAATTTTTGAACGACTTCTAGCTGATCCCCACCAGCGGTCAGCGTAGGAGGCTGTCCAGACCAATCTTGCAGGAACGCTTTGCACTTCGAGGGTGCGAAGCAAAGCCCGAAGTGACGTACAGCTATTGCTAATCTGTCCAATGCCGCTTGACACGTTTGTTAGCTGTCACAGATTAGGGCAATATCATCAGCATACTCTAAGTCAAGAAGTCGTTCTCGTGGGAGCAGCTCCACACCTTCTAAGTCGTGTCCTGTGAACGCGATGTCCATGACTTCGTCAACAGCGAAGTTGAAGAGGAAAGGTGACAGCGGTCATCCTTGTCTCACGCCGCTGGAGATGTTAAAGGGCGACGACAACTTGCCGTAAGCCCTCATTCTGCCCGAGCTACGCGCATATAATGCTCGGATAATATTTACATATTTCGCAGGTATACCTTTCCTGAGTAGACAGTCCCAAAGTGCATGTCTATCCACAGAATCGAATGCACCTTTGATATCGAGTAACACGACAACGGTGGGCCTCCAATATATGTGACGGTGCTCCAACAACTGACGCAAGGTGAAGATGTGGTCAATGCAGCCACGACCTCGCAATCCAGCTTGCTCTTCACGAATCTGGCTTCCACGTGTGCCAGTCAGCCTGTGAAGGATGACAGAGGCAAGCAATTTGGGACAGTTTCCTGCTCCCACAGTTTGACTAGTAACTCGTATAAATCATCCACAAGAGCAGGTCCTCCGAATTTGAAGAGGGCTGGAGGAAGATCATCAGGTCCCGCGGCTTTATTTAACTTCAACAGTTCGATCTCACGTTCGACTTCTGAGCGAGAGGGTGGATCCAAAGGGACAGCCCAGGAAGTGGGGCGATCAGTGGCCGGCGAGAAATCTAACCATTCCGACCGATTAAATTGCTTTCCAAAGTGCTCAGCCCATAGTTCCAAGCGTTTTGATAAGTTGTGGATAGGCTGTCCACTCTCGTCACGTATAGTTTCACTAACACCTGGTGTCCTGCTGCCCGTTTCCCGTATCAAACGGAATAACTTATGATGGTTACCAAGGGCAGCGGCCATTTCCATCTCTGATGCACGATGAGATCACCAGGATTCGCGGTCTCTTCAGGCTAGCACGGGGTTTTGCGAGTTTCATTGTGTTCGCTTCCAGCCGGAATATGCTGGCGAGCTTTTATAAGTTCCACAGACTGTGAAGAGACCCAATGTCCATGTTGGTGATTAGACATACCACATGAGGATTTTCCTGCTGCTAGTAAAGTCTGGTGAATATGAGACCAGTAAACTTCAGTTGCATCCAGTGAGTGTTTATCCAGCTCGCATGACAGCGTACTTTGATATGCATTCAGAATGTGACAAAATTATTGGCCTCGATTATCGTTCATCGCCTCACTGCGGAACGGGAATCTTAGATTAGGGAAGAGCAGGCTGGTTTCCGCCCAGGACGTGGCTGTGTAGACCATATATTCACTTTGCGGCAGGTGCTAGAGCAGCGCCACGCATACCGCAGACTGACAATAGCTGTGTTCCTCGATTTTAAGAGTGCGTTCGATTCACTCGATCGATCGATTCTGTTCGAAATACTGCGCGGAAAGGTGTTCCCACGAAATATGTGAACATCCTTCGTGTTTTGTACTCGAACACTACAGGCCGCGTCAGGGTCTACGGTGTCCTATCGGAAAGTTTTCCGACCACAAGTGTCGTTCGTCAGGGTTGTGCGATTTCCCCATTTTTGTTCAATTTCGTCGTGGATTCTATCATGGAGTGTTCCCTTGCGGAATCTCACGAAGTAGGCGTTGAAGTGCTGCCAGGTGAACGGTTAGTTGATCTAGATTATGCGGACGATATCGTCTTTCTTTTCGACGATGTTAGGGCGGCACAATCAACCCTGAATAGCCTGTCCAGAATGGTCCCATTATTTAGTATGCACTTCGCACCTTCAAAGTGCAAAGTGTTGCTGCAGGTCCACCAGCCACTTGATGACCCCTTGACGCTTGCTAACGATGAACTCTAGTGAGCCTAACTATTCACTTATCTTGGCAGCTGCATCAGCAATGATGGGCGCATAGAAACTGACGTCAGCTCACGCATTGCAAAAGCCAGAGCTACGTTCTTGAACCTGCGGCATCTTTGGCGAGAGAAGGGAGTTTCCCTTCGTCTCAAAGGCCGGGTATACGAGGCCACAGTGATGGCCGTTCTGCTGTATGGTAGTAAGACTTGGCCCCTTCGGTCTGAAGATCTGAGGCGCCTTCAAGTCTTTGACCATCGTCGTCTGCGAAGCATTGCTGGTGTCGGATGGCACCAGCGTATCCGCAACGATGATGTGCGTAGGCGAGTACTAGGTGGTGATAATCATGCTAGATCCCTAGAACAACAGATAGCACTGAATAAGTTGGCACGTTCCACTCACATGTCAGGCTATCTGTCTGACGAGTCCAAATCAGCACGAAGCCGATCTGTCGTGGAATGCAACGATGAGAGAGAACAATACAGAAACCCTCCAGTTCGGTGACGTTCCCAGTGCTCGGAATGACAGGCTGACTTCAAAGTCAACCGAGGACAAAATTGAGATTGCGTGTCGCAATCCAAAACTCGACTATCGACACAGCATCTTCTATCTTAGTGCCGTCACTCGCGTGCTTAAAATAGCAATTTCTCTTTACCAAAGCGGAGAACGCGCGTGTGTTACCTGCATCGATATTCTTGCCTCTGACAGTAGTTTTTTCGATGAAGTAAACTCATTTGCTGCGCCGGTTTCACCGAAAACTCAATTTTTTAGATCACATACGCCAAGAGCAACCACTATTGTTTCATGCGATTGTGCGGCTGCACTATAGTTAAAGTTTCCGGGGTATCCGTTGGTTAATCTCCCACACACTGCATTTTTCAACAGAGAATTCCGCTAGCCGTTTGCCTAAGTAGCCATTTGTTACCGTCGACAAGAACTGTAACGAGAGCCTAATTCACCCTTGTCATTCTGTTGCCTCCATTTCGTTCCTCATTCAGTGTATGACGTCTCACCACTCATTATAGCCCAACATTAACGCGCATAAACTTGCTAGATTGCTCAGTAAATGTGATTTTGATCCAGTTAATCTTGTTCTTCATTTTTAGTTCCAAACTGTGCATCCCGCATCTCAAGAAGTCCTCCAATCCACATATTCTCACCCTTAGCCCACCTTTGAACATGTCTCCTCGATGGTTCAGTCCTCATCTTGCGTACACCATGGCGAAATACGGCATGTCCATGTGCGTACTCGGTATGGCAAGAGAGCTCCGGTCCGCAGGAATAGCCGTGAATGCACTGTGGCCGCGAACGGCGATTTACACGGCCGCGACGAAAATGCTCGGTGGCGAGCAATTCGCATCCCAATGTCGACATCCGGAAATCATGTCCGACGCCGCATATGTCATCCTCACGAGGTCTGCCAAAGATGCAAAGAATACGGGCAACTTTTTCGTTGATGAAGATCTCCTCCGATCGGTGGGCGAGACAGACTTCGACAAGTACGCCATTAGTCCAGGTAATGTTCCCATGATTGTCTGAATGTCTGCCACATCCGTCATATCTCAGTACGATGCTAGTGGACACTACGCATCCTGCTGTATTTTATGCAATCTCTTGTTACTGACTGTGGATATTTCCATCAAAAATCGTCAATGTTTCCACCCCTAATCTTTTGAGTTTTCAAGTAGTAGGCGGAGCGAAGCTGCGACATCTTCCAAGACTACAAAACTTTACACTTTTTGTTACTGGTAACCGATACTAAATAAAGTGAACAGATGACCACTTCACACACTTCAAGAGTATGAACCATCCACAAAAGTGGAAGGAGTTTCGCACCACATGCACCGGGCATACTGCTCTTGATTGCGACTCAATTTCAGTCAGAATCACACTTTACTTTGAGTCGAATCTCCGTCGATAACTAAAATCGCTTCTGTGGTCGCTAAATCTCAGGATCGAGTTACATTTATGTTATTTCTACACTTGAAAAGTGCGAATACGAAATCAGCCTGGGGTGCGGTGTCCCGGGCTACCAACACCGTCTATTTATCGAAACATAACTCTTTACCTGCATCGATTTCTCCAACCTGTTACTCAAGTCGTTCGCCACTGTCACACCACTTCTGTCCATCATGCCAGATAAGCGTGATTCCTCCATGTGCATCGTTCGGCTCGTCTGAATGATACTCCTGATCACTCTGATAGTTTACGTTGTATCCATGGCGTACAGCATCAATGCCTTGCGATAACTGCCTGTTGCTGTGCCTTATATTCCTACTAATTTATGCAGTTTAATTTTAAATGAAACAGTGCCTCTTCTTCTCTCCCATGTATTCCGCACTGCATTGGAATTCATCCGGCGAGGTTAATTTCAGGTACACATTCACGCCATTAGCGGGACATCTCTGGACGCCCGCTGTTATGACCGCATATGCTGGCAGTGATATCACTTTGTAGACGAATTTGTCTACCTTAGACCGGATCCCATGCCCACATAGAATGAATGGATCGCCTTCACAGTTGTCAGCGAATGTACACATTCTGATGTTCACACCTGATCGAAGTTCCGTGAAGCGTAACGTGCGCATAGATGGAACGCCTGTCAGCCTACTTCTTCTGAGTACATATCGCCTCACCGTTTGACGGCCACGAGGCCGTGTAGTCCAATTATTCGGAATGCGCTCCGCACATTCAAAGTGCAAAGTATTGTTGCAGGACCACCAGCCAATTGATGCCCTGTTGACCGATGCATCGAGGAACTACAGGCCACAAAGGTGTAGTACGGGGGGATTGTATGGTATGGCTGGCAATTCATCACATCTAGGTTCAGTTTAACAGCGATCACACGCCCAGAAAAGCAGTGTACGGCCGTTTCGTTCTTCTAGGAATCGTCAACAATGCGCATTCCATCTGACTCTTGTAGACTTCAAACCCGAAACTCGACTGTTGCCACGGGGGACGGCAACGGCCGTCTTGACTAAGTTACTAGACGTGATATAGCGCCGCTCACTATCCACTGCCTTGCACGAACTTACCAAACTTGGGCCGCCAATTAACTACAGCTTATTGATCAAATCACTTATCGTGGTAGCTGCGCTAGCAGCCGTCGCGTTTGACGAAAGCTAGAACCATCTTCTTAAACCTAGGATGTTAGAAGGGGGTTTCGGTCGGCCTGAAGAGCTGTGTATACAATCCATATCGAGCACTGTTCTACTTTCTAGAGGCGAAACTAGTGCGATTCGGTCGGAGGATCTGAGACGCCTTCCAGTCACTTACCATTGCTGCTTGCGAAGATTTGCTAGTGTCGGATGGTACCAGCATAACGGCAATGATGGTGTTCGTAAGTCAGCTGCGTAATCAGACCTTACCATTTCACACACATGTTCGTGAATTCCTCAGTTAAATTCGTTCGGTCACGGAGCGAAACATTTTGTTACCCTCACATATTGGCGGCGTTCGCACCGGACGCGATTGCGCACCCAAAGGTGTAGTAGCCTCATTGTTCGACCGGAGTCAGTCAATTGGACATGGGGCGGGTGTTGAAAAAAATATAGACATGTGTGCTCGGATGTTGTCACCCGTACGATGACCGGGTGAGAATGTTAATGCCTGAGGATATCTACTGCTGACTAGGACGTCAGCTGTGAAAATGTCACGGCCGATAGTCGGGAAAGCAAATCAGAGTATTTCCATCGACAATTATGACGTACATTACCGCGGTCTAGGCGCTTGCCCGTAGTAACTATAGCTTGGGGAAAGAAATTGGGTTGCGCATAGAACATAAATACGAACATCAAATTACCACAGACACTTCGTTGTATGACTGCTTTGGGGAGGGAAAAACAGTTGCCTATTTGTACCACTGGTATCCTCTCCGAGTGGTATGCCGAAAGCCAAGTGAGTTGTGTAATAGAAATCGAATTTTGCATATCTACCGACAAGCGCCACGCGATCCTTAGATGGGAGCAATCATTCGTACGCAGAAGCTGTGGCATAAGTTTCGTGTCTTAGCAGAATCAGGAAAAAGAGTTATGCATGTACATATATTCTCATGCTAAAAGCAGGCGATGCATTGCTTGTTTCGCAGACCAAGGAGGCGTTCGTCCAAATTTCCGTTTGTTTGATGTATATGCTACCCTTCTCAAAGGTACTTCGTAGTAAATTGCAAAGACATTCATTCGAGGAGTGAGAGGAAAAGTGTGGCCGAAGGACAAGTTTCAGTGGGTGATGCATGCGTGTTTCTAGCGCCTCAGATGTTGCTAAGACCAACTTTCTTTAATGTATCCGGAGGTTGCGCTAAGCTAAAGGTCTTTAACGCATTCGGTAAGATGAGAAAAGTTTCTGAGGCTAGTCGAAATGTGGCAAAGTTTAAGCATATACGTACCTGTAGGGTCAATTTGCTCCACAGATTGGCATATATTTCATCAAGAAGAAAGTCCATTTATTTTATAACGTGCAGCTTGCGAGAGTAGATGGTGGTTCTCGGCAATTCAAAGGGAGGAGCTGGCTGTAAACGGGAGATGATTTTTCAGACGTCGCAATCAAAAAGGGCCTAGTCAGTGTTGAGGACATCGATCGTGGTAACTCAGGATTCAGCAGTAACCCATGGCCAGCTTGATGAGTGGTCGTTGGACTTTTGTTATAGCTATCCTGTCTTTGCTACTTAATTGGTTGTGAATGACGGCACAGCACTCCAGGGTAGGTTTCACTATAAGCTTGAGTAGTCCAAACCGGTTTTCAGATAAGGAGTATGTTCCACTAATCTAGGTTGTTAGTTGTCTGATTTTTGCAACTTGGTATAGAACAAGTTCAGAGAAATTGGTTGATGTTTGGATATCTAATTCGCAAATCTGTGACTGTATCGGATCTTTTCGGATAATGGTCCCGGCAAGACTGATGCAGCCTTCTGAGATTCGACATCTCGTCCCGAGTAGCTGAGATTTTCTTGCGCAGAAGTTCATAGACGGGCTTTCGCTCGATGTGTTCAACGCGGGTAGGTCGTCACTTATGTTACCTGGCGTAGTGACAACTGGTCAGGTAAAAATGGGTAGACTAGTTTAACATCATCTGCGAACGAAAATGGGCGTCTATGTCTTACGGGATCGCATATATTGTTTATGTAGATTGAGAAAAGTAGCGGCGCAAGCACGCGTCCCTGGATGACACCACTGGTTATTCGTTCCGATGTGGAGTATGTCTGTCGTATTCACACACTTCGATCGTTTTCTGCCGTGGTATGATAATCGACGTGTTTCATTTCGTCGCACATACTGCATTATTTATATATAGGGTGCACGAGCTAAGTGGCGACAATGACAACGCATTACCAGCCTGTGTAATCCAACCTTAGGTTATCCCATCAGATCCTCGTGGGTAATGGATGGAATCAATCGAGAAATGTGTTCCCTGCTTTTCGCCGAGGTGAACTCGACATCACATACCTCAGGTCAGTTGATGCACTGAAGATGCAACAGGCTACACCCTGAATGTTTTACACACAGCTGCCGGGTCGTCAATGTATGGTCTATGCTGCAGGACATAGTTTAGAGGGATGGTTCGGTCAGACCTACCAGCGCGGAAGATACTTGATAAGCGGGCGATTTTGTTTCTGTCATTCAGGACTTTCTGTTCTTATGTTAAACCTTGTCATTCATGCTTAGCGGTAATTCTCTCTACAATCACGGTGTGCCGTCAAAGCATGAAGAAATCAGATGTGCGCCGAAACCTACGTCGAACGTGATGCAGTTTGTGCCGTGGTTGCAATCAGTGACGACTATGTTACACTGTGTGGGTGGCGCTTACGTCCCAATAGCATAAAATCTTAGATACGGTGGATCGTGTTACTAAAGATAAGGTCTGCAGCATGTTGCATACAAACGTCGAGAAAGAATCCATTCAAGTTTCTAGAGGGAATGTTTTGACGAAACGAACCCCTATCTATAGAACGGAACGCACGGATATAGGTTGAAGATCCTACTCTACGAACGCACCTCGCGATGGAGTAGAACATAGCAATTCCATTTACAAAATACACAGATTCAAAGCATCGGTTATAAATCTGTCATATGCATGTAACTTCTAACCATTACAAAACCTGATAGGACTGCCTGTCAAGTTTCCAGCAGCCACCGACCGATATAGCTGCATGGGTATGAAGTAGGCGAACTGTCACACCACGGGAATATCCAGTTTCTTCGCTAAGCGCATGTCTATTCACTTCGTCAACCGCATGTGGTTATCTACTGACGGGACCTGTCATCGGGCTGTCTGCGTTTTGGATGTGTCATCTGGTTACAACGAGATGACACAGCGCCACGATCGCCTAGTCGCAAGGGTAAGGGATTTTTTTGTTTCCGGCTTACGTCTGTCACACAGTTCTCTTGTAACAGCCACAAGCATTTGCAAAACTGTTAACAGTGTCTCTTGGGTATAACGCACATTCTTGCCATCGGATACCTAACTTGCTTTGTCAACTTGGTCGTGGCCAGTTCCGTCGTACCAATGCAGGCGAATTCGCGATGGCGATGGGGGACCACATGCACGGACGAATGAATGTACTTAACATGCGCCGTGACGACATAGAATACTCATTTCGGCGACTGGACATGCCGCGAAGAGGACCTTAGACGCGCTACACGTTGGAGGTTAGGAACTGCACACTGTAAGCTTATGAGGAAAGAGGCGATTGGAAACAGGTTGCAAGTTTGCCGAGTCTACACGTTAACACTTGCCGCAGCTGGATACAGTTATTGGCATCGACGGAGCCCAAAGGATAACACGATAGTGTCCGTCGCAGAGCTCTAACTGAAAGCCACGTCGATTCTCTGGTTGAGTGGGTGACTGGAAAACATAAGGTAATACTCACAAATCTTCGTTTGCGTTTAAAAGCGGAGTTCGAGGTTGAACTCAGCGCCAGTACCGTCGCCAGATACCTAGACCGTGGATTAATAAGGTTAAAGAAGTTGCACACGCTGGAAAACAAAAGACGGCGTAAATCGTTTATCTTGCGGCTCCCGAGTGGATCTATGAGACAACCTTCAACCTTTTTTTCGCGCGCACAAGAAATCGTTTGCGGCGGAGGACTAGAGCCCAGTGTACTGTTGCCAATGGTCGTGTACATGTACATGTTGTTGGTGCCATGCTGAACGATTGCGTGCTAGCTTGTTTCCGTTTTGCGCGTAAGCTACAACAAACGAAGATGCGCCCAGTGACTTCGGTAAGTGCTAGAAGCCAATGGCCCGGCTTTTATCGAGTGGTGGCTATTAATATACGACAACGCGCCATGCCACACAGACCTGGAAGGCATATCCCGAGAAGTACAGTACCGCTCAGGGATGCATCTGCCTCTTGGCCCATACTCTCCAGTGCTGAACCGTATCAAGGGCATCTGGCGTATCATAAAGGCATATGTGCAACGCACTATGAGAAGCGGATACGCAGAAATACATCGAGGGGATCCCGACTGTGTCCTTAGCAAAAGGGAATGACGATACAATTTCTGGGGCTAGTGGTATCCGAAGCACGCGACTGTGTGACACGGCAGCACTGTCAGCAGATGGTGCAGCATGTGACCAGTACTTACGGCCGTGTTATACACATAATAGATTTATAAACGATGCCGTTTTGAATACGTGTGTTTTTTAAACAGATTTGCTGTTTCTTACTTCATCGCCAGGTGGATTCGTGGAGCATCACATGCTCCGCTTGCAATATACTGATTTCGTATAGGGAACACGGCTTTGGGTTCAGTGGAAATGCATCGCACTTGGACGTACAGTGTGCCAGTTGCCCTTTTCATTGCCGTGAAACAATGATGGGAGAAATAGAGGACGCTGCACACAGGTGTGACGTTATAAATGGTCGTTGGTTGTTGTTGATGTTCGTGTTGGAAGAGCCGATGGTTACGCAATAGAACGCGTTGACACCTGGCCTGATCACTGAAGTATACGGGCTACGAAACGCGTCAAATCGCGCATTGTTTAGCATAGCACACTTATGATGAATGCGAAAGGCCAGAGACGATCCGTCAAGTATGGGAACTGTTTCCCAGCATATGTGAAAACATTGCGCAAGAGATACTTGTGATTCGCTACCTGCATTGGAACAAAGCGCAGGGTTGCTGTGCCCATAGTCCATGTGAACTGGACCTATGTCAGTACGGCATCGGATAAAGTGCTACAAGGTCAGAACGAAGCAAGAGGTAATTTTAATGTTTTCGTCCCAAAAGGTAGTCAACAGATGCGGTTGAAACACTGCCTCAAAACACTTGGTGCTTAGCATCAATCCTTAGCGGGAACTCGGAGTGGGGAACAATCGAGGAACACAGAAATCTGACAAGGTTACAAATGATGGAGCCACAAAGAGGCAGTGTTGCAAACCCATGGACAAAAGACACGGTCTCTCTTTACAAAGTGTATACTGACTACACGACATGTAGGCGCTTGACCCAGATCCAAGACAACTGTTGGCATGATACTGTGCAAAGTAACGCTAAATGTCATTAGATTCCCCTTTATAACTAAAGATAGATGGGATTATTCAACTGGTCTTCAGCAAGTTGCGTCATCATTGTGGTTTCTAATTCCAAAGCCGTTAGTTCACCTAAATACATGACAGAGTATCCTTTCAGATAACAGAGGTATTACGCCTGCGCGACGACCGCTTGACGAGGGGAACGTTGTTTTATTTGTCGTATCTCAGATGACACAAAACTCGAAGTGGACAAATGTGGACTCTAGTAGCAAGGAATACCGTCCCAAACGACGGGACTGAGTGCTGTTAGCTGCTTTCCCTCTCCTGGCCGAAGTGCACGTGACCATCATTTTGCTTGGTCGGGACTTTACCGGGCACCGCCCGCCACCTGCAAAAGCGGCGCGTTCCCTGTTTTTAGTTGGACTGTATTTGATATCTTATGCCGAGTTATCTGCGGGATATGGGCCAACTAGGACACAGACACTGCTATCCGAATGCGAACCATCTCATCTGTACTTTCGCATGGTAACCATCCACTTTTGGCCGTATTTTATTGACATTTGCAGGCAACTTGGTCCTGAGTGTTCGCTTAGGGCGTTTTGGTGTTACATTCGATTAGTGCTCTAAGCGATAACACACCTGCCTTTTAATCCGGTCACCGGTTCGAATCCACGTAGTTACGGGCTACGTCGCTGTGTACCCAGCCTATACTAAACTCCCTTCTTCCGCTCTTATGGATTTCCGTTTGATGGTCATCACGATTATATATTGTGGAGCACATTAGTTCAAGTCCTCGCTCTTGCTTGAGCTCACGCTCACCTTCAGTACCCAAACTCGCGTGCGACCGCTTGTGTTTCCATTGCATCGAGTCACTAGCACAATCTACTAGTGTGCCATCAGTACCTTTCTTAGCCTTTATTTAGAAACTGCGTAGATGAGTAGAATGTTAGCCACAATGAATAACCTCGCACTTTTGATTTCTGCAACTTGATTCAGAGAGTTATATTTACTGTTGTACAGTCATTTGAATGATATCGAGTAACAATGGTTGACCATCGATTCAAATGCACCCGCGTGAACATCACAGCTGATACAAGCTATTTGATTCCAGATTGTTGATTTACTCACCAACATTTGCCCCTACAGTCATTGCTGCTTGCAATGTGATGCGTTCAAAAGCGAACTATACGTTACAACTCGGCGCGTGCGCCTTGTTAGATTCATGGAAATGAATAGAGCAGTATTCTGTTGTTCTGGATAGGGTTCGTACTATAGCGCAGCACGTATATCTCAGGGCTCAATGGAACTACCGGAGATAGACGGCGTCAAATGAATGAATCCGATGCGGTTTTTCATCTAGAGTGGGGAGAGCGACGGGCGAACACGTGTCGGTATTGTGCTATTCTGATACATGGTATTGTGTAGTGCGTACACTCCCTATCCTTGTGGAATGCGGTCTGTCTCAACGAAAGTGTTCCACGATTATTTTTGCACAGTTGCATAACTGACACGACGTTTCACAGTTTCACTGAATAGCATCATTAAGTATTTTTACCACACTTTTTGGCGGAGCTTACAGACTGTGGCAAGATGACCTTCGCTCCTTCGTACCACTTACAACCCCTGCGGCTCACTCTATTAGTGGTGGAGTTAGCAGATGAAGGCACTTCTCCAGCGCTGTGTGGGAGGAATGCTTCGGTACAATATGTGGTGTGCCGTTAATAATATTGATTGGTTTGCTTTTTGCGTTTTCCCTAAACGGCCTCCGAGCAACACCCGTTTAGTTAGATACACATTCACAACGCTAGCTTTTCTCCCAATTGCCGTCCAAATCACTGTTTGAATGCGTTTCAGTTCCCCTATAGGGCAATGATCTTTCAACTGGACCTTAATTGTATATAGTGTTCAAACAGTATATGGGCCATAGAACGCCTGACGGATGATTGTCTAAAACCGGAGCATCGCTTCCAGTTCACTGTTTAAATTAAACCAGCAAGGATCACCGAAGTACTTACTTGACCGTATACTTCGAGATCATTTTGGATTTAGCCTCGTTTACGCAGATTTCAATCATTAACACATGTCGGCCTCAATGCGTACTTACCGCCAAATATTGGCCATTTACCATGACCTTCGTTTGATCACGTTTAGGACATGGTGCAGCGACCTGTATTGCATCGGTGTGCCGAACCTCTCATTGACGATCTGACGACGCACCGCTGTGTGTATCTGCGCTCCGAGTCACGTTCCGCGCAATAGTCAGCAAATCGAATTCACTGATATATACAACCTGGATCACATGCGCTTCGGCTGACACAGAAACAGCCGCTACGGCATCATGTTAAGCTTTTCTTTCCTGTTTTTCATTTACCGATTGTTTCCAATACTCATCAGCGCACCGTTCCTGTTCACTAACATCATTTTTCCACAATTTCAGGTAGTCGTCTTGCACCAGACTTTTTCCTTGATGATGTTCAGATGTCAGAAAAACCCGCTACGTCCAACAACACCGACTCGGTGTCGGTCAGTGAGGTGTTCCGCGAAATTGAGCGCTTTTTCTCGACTGAAGTTACAAAAAACCTGGGAGCATCATTCTACTTTCATCTGTCAGGTAAGCACCATGTTAGAAGTGACCACTTGGATTAACTCGCTCACTTGGCGCTGCGTTGTAAGAGTTTGCATTCTTGGTGTTATTCTAGGCAACGCTCCGTGAGCTTACCCATTCACTCCTCCTCGTCTTGTCTAACAACTCTTTCTGAGAATTACCTCCACGCAATTCAGTGCACGTGGGGCCGTTGGATGAAAATTACGACTACCAGCGTGTGCTACTCAGTCTCTGTACACTCTGAGTCGATACATGCTTGGTGTCGCGAGAGAAACATGCGATTTCGTTCGCCATATCCGTTCCAACCTTCCTTCAGAAATTCCAACGCCATTGTGCTACGTCCATAGATAAGGACACATTTATCCTGCATTTGAACAGACGACTTCATCAACTTTGGGTCGCTCAAATAAACATAGCCTTGGAATTTACCGTGGCCTAGCTAAACATTTTCGGCCAATCATCGGAGTGCTATTTCCTTTATCGGACTCTGCGGCAGGTAGCATGAGACGGCACTTCTCACAAGCTTTCTGACTATGTGTTGATCATCTGACCGTGGTTTCGATATCTTGGAGTATGTTTGGAGCCGACCGGGAAATTATCAGTTTAGAAAAGCTTAGGAACAGCCGGTTAGGGTAGTTGCTGGTTAGCATGTCGTTTTCGGCACGCATTTTCAAGCCAAGTGAATTAGCCTAAATTTATGTGGCATTTGTTAACAGTGATGGACAAAAATTCGCAACTAAAAGATGCAATTAAACAGCAAATATCAAGCTGTTTTCTTATTGCCCAATGAGAGGAATTTGGTCAAACAACCGATGGAACTCGCGTCTAGGATCCGATCTGCGGTCTTGTTGGGATGGTTTTTGATAGTCCATATCAGTTCATCCAGATTCACTTGTCCGCGGTCATCATACTGGCCGGAGTCAAACTAGACGCCAGGCATTTTACTATCCCACTTCATCTGTTCTGTACACGCACGTGTGTTCGCTTTGGCGGTTATCATCATCACAACGGCTTCATCGTAATGCTCTGCAAAATCGCTTTCAAGTTTTGCATCTGGCTCACCATGCGTACACGGTCACCTTTCTCGGCGGACCTGAAATGCCTCGTGTATGTTGCGAAATTCTCGTGCGCAGTTCTCTGGTCGTTTAGTCCATAAGGGATTTACCAAATACACTAACACGGTCGTTCACGTGCCCTTCTGCTTGAGGATGTTGGAAAGGAATCTACTTGAACATTTCCCACTTTTTTCTAACCAATTCATTTATAATCAGCGAGTTCGTCTACACTGGATGGATGACATGTCCCAACGACCTCAGATGTGTTACCTACGTGCTTGTATGCTTTATATCTCAATCACGACGCGCGATGGTTTGCTCTCTGGTTGTCAGCGAAAGTCACTCTCTTTCTATCAGTTTCCGAGACGACAGTGCCATTTCTGCTATTTTTGTTCAAGCCACCTACTTTTACCGTGGCTCCTGTGTCTTTGGCCCCATGTCGTTTACAATTCAACAGCTTACATTGTTATACTCATTGTTAGGGGAATTTTATGTTCACCAGTTTGGGGAGTTTCTTCTCCGTAACTTGCAAATCAGATAGTCATCCACATGCACACTGCTGCGGAGACGCAACACGTCGAAACAGCCGTCTAGTTTTTTCTGGCTTTTGGTAGACTGTATGATTTCGAGGAAGTCCCTCTCCCAACTATTGGTGTTTTCATCTCTCAGTCTTGTTATCTCCCGCCTCTATCTTAAATTCCAATTCGGTTGAAGTTGCATGATTTCAACTCTATTGGTCCTCTTTGTTTTTCATGTTTCAGGTGATGAACCCGGCCACTGGTTTATTGATCTCCGAGCAGGAGAAGGGAAGGTTGGCAAGGCCACAGAGGATCCAAGCTCCTACGATTGCCGCTTCGAGATGACCAGCACTAATTTTGTGCGGTTGTTCAAAGGTGAACTGGTCCCCACGGAGGCGTTCATAACTGGTCAATTGAACATCGACGGCGATGTGTTTTCCGCTCTGAAGCTGGAGAAACTGCTTGCGAAAGTCAATCGCATGAACTCCCTTAACTCCAATTCTTCTAGCAAAGCGTGATCATTTGACTTTTCCCTGTAATTTTGCACACATATGACCTGTCAGCGATTTTTTCCCATTATGACTTCGATTCTTCAATTGTGTAATTCATGGTTCGACATGCGCCCTCATTTCTTAAACTTCTTCAACTCTGAGCATTATCACTTGTAATAAGGGGATTAACAACAATCTCGTCAGTTTCATGGGTGGAGCGCATATTTTTATTTGTTATTCATCCTCGTCCTTTTTTCTTCATTCAAATGCGTTCATTTTATTGATCACATTGAGAATCTGAGTCTCTCGACCAGTTATTTTGGGACAGTTTATACGCCTGCATCTGCATCGTATAACGACACAAACGAACAATTAATGGCTGGTAGAATAGTTACGCTGCGTATTACGAAACTGTGTGGCCTTAGCGAATGGGTCACCTAGCGAGACGCATGCTTTCGGCTCAGAGCTAGCCAGTATCGATATAATATCGGAGTTGGTGATTCATTCTGCGGGTTCCAATTGTCCAAAACGTTCAATATCTGTTGATTTCACTAAAGCTAGCGGGTTTTCTCGGGTTGTTTGCTCCCGGACACTAGTACTCTTCAACGAAATTCCGAAGTGTGTTCAACCGTAATAGTGTTATCTGAAAGATTCATTCAAAACCAAAGGGAACCGCGGGTGCCAAAGCTAGCATCTGTTTTCGCGGAAATGCGGTTAATATACCTATTACAGTTTAAGGGTGACGTGATAGCGGATCGGACTACCCGAAAGCTTTTCAAAGCAACAGCGGGAACGTATTTTGGTGCCGATCTGCGCGTAAGCTTCACCACAACACTGATTGTGCGCTACCAACTCAAGGATAGGATTTCTCGGTCGTTGATTCCCTTCTGTGTGTGTATGCGCAAAGTACATTAGGAAAACGACCAGATGACTGTCCGTGAGTAATTGCCCAGCTTGATTCTACAGCGGTGTGAGGAAGAATGTGACGAGTGCAACTTTGTCGCGCCTCGTGGACTCCGATCTATTGGGGTTCCTCCGCGTGGGTTCGAATCCCACTTCCGTCGCCAGAAATCCGTTGTGGTTTCCGCTGACTGTACGGATTACCTGCTAGAATATAATGTAACGTCTTCAATCAGTTCAACCCACAACGAAATTCGAACATCAACGACCAGCCGGACCGAAAGTTCTTTTGCAATGTAACCTAACGGAATAGATAAATAAAAGGCAAGTACTACAACATTGGAGATACTAATACCAATTAACACAAATCAAAACAGTTCAAATTCAGGCTTCGACTTGCTGCCGACCCCACATAGATTCGCTTTTGACCTCTGCTCGGGTCCGATCTCCAACTGTGGATCGGTCCACTCTTGCGCCACGGTTCTCGGCTTGTACACTGGCTCCCCGTAACACCGATCACCAAATCGATTCCCACAATTTATTATAACCAGTCTACTATGTGGCCGGGCTTTACACACGAGCCGTTAGATGCCGCCTGCTATCGACAGCAGAGGTGCGCAATTGGGCATCATCATCATTATACATGTCAGCTAGAGGCGGTAAAACACCTCCGCTATTGTACCGCAATACATAAAGGAAATACATACATACAATACATAAAGGAAAAATAAATACGACAGTTGCATGCCAGCTGAGCTACCAGCAACGGATAGGCATCGTTTCTGTAAGCTACCAGCCGGCTACTAAGCAAAAACAAAAAAAATTAATTTTGTTTTACCCTACGAAATAAGATAGTAGATGGAGGAGGAGGTTAAAGGGATGGGGAGGGACAAAGAAACTCACAGCAGGAACGCCACTGAGGTCGGCTCCTTGCCATGTCAACAAGTGTATCCAGCCAAACGTGTTCACCGTCTTTTGGACCCCAACCAGGAAGCCGTGAAGCTCCAATCGAGGCTAGCTCCGAAATGAGGGATTTCATTCCTCTGGACCAAGTCATTGCTTGGCCACCTCTCCTCTTCTTCCACCCACATCCCCGGTGAGCAAACAACGCACGTCGAGGGAGTCGGTGGGCTGGCATGCGCAACACGTGGCCCAGCCATCGGAGCCTGGTGCATGAAATAACGGTTCTGAACGGTTCATTCCCTTTTCCTGGGCCGTAAACAAGGCGTCGAACACGCTCGTTACTCACGCGGTGTTCCCACCAGATGTGAGCCAAACTGCGAAGGCACCGATGGTCGAACGTAAGTAGCCTCTTCATGTCCGCCGATCTTAGGGGCCAGGTTTCGCAACCGTACACTAGGGTCGAACGTACCGCTGCATTGTACACTCTACCCTTCAGGGCGAGAGTGATGTCGCGCCGTCGCCATAGGTGGCGAAGGTTAGCAAAAGCACTTCGAGCTTTCGCTATACGGTTCGTGATCTCGTCTTCGATCCCAAGGGCGCTGATACAACTTCCCAGGTAATTGAATTTTTGAACGACTTCTAGCTGATCCCCACCAAGGGTCAGCACAGGGGGCGATCCCTGCCAATCCTGGAGGAACGCTTTACACTTCGGTGGTGCAAAGCAAAGCCCGAAGCGACTGACAGCCAGTGCTAATCTGTCCAGCGCGGATTGGCACGTCTGGGAGCTGACACAGATGAGGGCGCAATTGGGCTCCAAACCCCGGACCTGTGTGCACAGAAAATTTCGTCCAGACTCTCTGCACCTTTAGCACAGGCCAACACGACTAACAATGGCCATCACACCATCTCACTCGCTTTCACATCAACTCGGCGAATCATGCGGTTTTAACGATCACACAGTTTGATTCAGTGACACTGTGTTTAAGCCTCGTGTCCATTTGGGGCTGCCTAATTGTGATGGTATTAGCCTAATGAAGAACGGCTAAAAGCAAGCATGTTCGCTACTTTTCGTTCCTGATGTCGTCCCAGAGAATTATTTCACAGTTGAAACCTGTTTGTAGTGGACCGAAGACACTACTGGGCCGTGTCGGTAGTATAGAAGTACTAGCCCAGCCGAACAGTAACGGGCCGACTGCGGACCATAATAACGACTCGACGGAAAACGAACGCTTGGGAACCGCAGATTTATGTGCGATCTGAATAAACACAGAAGCAGTGCGCGCAACGCAACTTTCAGTAAAACGTGCGTAAATGAGTTTAACACTAGCCACAATGAATAACTCGCACTTTTGATTCCTACAACTTGATTCAGAGAGTTATATTTACTGTTGTACAGTCATTTGAATGATATCGAGTAACAAGGGTTGACCATCGATTCAAATGCACCCGCGTGAACGTCACAGCTGATACAAGCTATTTGATTCCAGCTTGATGGTTTACTCATCAACATTTGCTCCTACAGTCATTGCTACTTGTCTGTGTGATGCGTTCAAAAGCGAACTATACGTTACATCTCGACGCGTGCGCCTTGTTAAATTCATGGAAATGAATAGAGCAGTATTCTGTTGTTCTGGATAGGGTTCGTACTATAGCGCAGCACGTATATCTCAAGGCTCAATGGAACTACGGGAGATAGACGAGGTCAAATGAATGAATCCGATGCGGGTTTTCATCTAGAGAGGGGAGGGCGACGGGCGAACACGTGTCGGTATTGTGCTATTCCGACACATGGTATTGTGTGGTGTGTACACTCCCTGTCCTTGTGGAATGCGGTCTGTCTCAACGAAAGTGTTCCACGATTATTTTTGCACTGTTGTATAACTGATACGAAGTTTTCACAATTTCACTGGATGGCATCATTAAGTATTTCTGCTATCGTCTCTGGGGGAGCTTACAGGCTGTGGCAAGATGACCTTCGCTCCGCCGTACCACTTACAACCCCTGCGGCTCCCTCCATTAGCAGTGCAGCTAGCAGATGAAGACACTCCTCCAGCGCACTGTTTTTTAATGATTACAACTCTAGTTCAATACTTAATAACATAAAATTTGTATATTTACCGATAGACGGTACACGGCCCCATAAGTGGGAACGGTCATTAGTATGGTGAATACGTTTCAGGGTTTATGCGGCGTAAATCATAATAGTAAAGAAAACTTTATTAGGAGAATTTCGGGTCACATTTTTTTCCTCAGGCCCCAGACCCGGACACCTCATATGTAAAATTTACGATTGTTTATGTCATCAGGAGTGGATAATCAAGGGAGGGGCTACTAGGCTGCACAGACACAGGATTTGGTATTGTAGGTAATGATATGTAGTGGGTAAGCTAGTTGTAAGCGAATTTCTGCTCATATGTTTTTATACCAGCTTCTGTCAATGTTTCTGGAGTTTGCTGTGAGTCAAAATCTTCAACACATTTGAAATAGTGAGGAACGTCTGAAGGGAATTTCGAAATGTGACATAGCTAACATTCATGCGTATCTGTAGGGGTAGTTTGTTCCATAGATCAGTGTATCTTACTAAGAAGAAATTGGATCGAGTTTTGTGACTTGAAAGGTTTGTGCCTGTCAAGTAGCCGCCATTACGTGTAGGCAGACTGCAGCCTTTCGTGGTTCAAATGCGGTGCTCTCTGCGTAAATTCGTTTGTTTATAATGTTGTAGAAGAGAACGAGGTTGTACTTTAAGCGTCTCAGCCAAAGAGGATCCATTTGGAGTTTTCAACCCCGATCATATTATGTCAGGTTTGAGCAGTGCCCCATGACCAGCTTGGTAAATGATTGTTGGACATTTCCTAGGGCGATTCTGTCTTTCTCACTTGGCTGTACTTGGTGGTTCGACGCGCCGTAACAGTATCGCTGAAGGAAGATGTTTAGAACATCGGACCTGATCAGAGCTGACGACTGCAGTAACATCAATGATGCTTATCTCCAGTGAATCAGCTGGCGATGGCTGTGTAAGATTGTAGGTTACATATGCAGTTCGTCACTGAATGCTTCGCCACTGGATCGGTTATTTATGTTCTCCAAGCTTTCAAATGCTCCCGCTCTAGTAATAGGCTTGATAACCCCCTCCCGGATTTGATTACTGCAAATCTTATATCTATCCTACCCAACACCCCCGATACCATTAAATTGAGTTCGGGAACAGAAAAGCTTTTCCATCTGTAACCTCCAGTTAACTCATCCGAGCTTTTGGGGTTGCATGTTGTGTTGCGTCTACAGGAATGCTGATCAAAACGCCTTTCGAGAATTTTCGCAGTTTTCTGTGTAACATGGCAGTGGTCTCCCCTAAGCAACCTTCGGGTTCTGGTAATCGACCATGTGTCTTATTTGCCAGCCTGGATAGGTTGGTTTGATGAAAACTTTCCTGTTCGTCTGTGTGGTCCCGCGTTGATGTCCCGAATGCAAACGAGACGACTTTCCAGTATCACCATCTAACATTT